TTTTCTATGGCAGTGAATGCAGTACTGGGCTTCTAGTCTTGAGCCAAATGAATTATGTCGCAAGCGGACTGAAGAGCTGTAACTAAGATATGTACACTAACAGGTGCTACACAAGTATAGCGTAGACACGCCCAGGGGGACCTAGGACCCTACTAAATACAGGGGGGAGGGGGGGGGGGGGGGGGGGGGGTAGGAGTGGGGGGAAGGGGGGGGGGGGGGGGGGGGGGGAAGTTAGACTTGTCAAAAATCCGCGCCGTGGGTACAGTTAGACTAAAAACAAAACTACTACTAGGATAGCATACAAACCAATCACCTAAAACACGCCGCGCCCAAGGGCCGGCGGATTTTCATTCTTCACAGCATCCATTCCATAACAGTCGTTGTTCTGCAACTTTTCACTGAGGCGAGTGCAATCTGCGATTGAAGCTGGAACACCCTTGGTAATGGTCAATGTGATGCCACAGCAGGATGCTGAACATGATGTATGAACCATTTATCAACCAAACTGGTCCAACGTGTTTGCTGTGAAACCTGTGGGAAGGCAGCATGCGCACCGTGTGCACTCTCCAGGAATGCAACTACGTCCAGCTAGATGCTCGCATCAAGGTGAAGGATGAAGACTAGTGGTGATTGGGGTGCTTTGGCAGAAGAACATTGAGGAAACAATTGGTTCAACAACGCAACTAGATAGGTTTTGAAACTGTTTTCCAGAAGGTTCCAAAGACGTCCGCCCTACAAGTGAAAAGCAACGAGCTAAAGAACGAAATATCTTGATACGCCGACAAAGGTCTTGCAGATTCAGGAATGCTTTGATTTGCGTTGGTGGGAAGATAACGGTAGGGCCGAAGCAAAGATGTCGAAGCATATCGAAGCAAGGATTCTGCTTTGTTGGGGCTTGCTGTTTGGTAGGAGTCAGAGTGCAACTCCAAAAAGCAGTATCATCAAATCCATGATAACATGTAGATGCATGTAGCATCGTATGTGATGCCTGCAAAGTCGGGTTACAATTCGTCAAACCAACACAACTACCCGAACCCTGCAACCACCACCCCAACCACCTTTACTGACTACCACGGCGGGTGCCGCCATCACACCACAACTATGTTGGCTGCACTGGCACATACGACATACTCGCTCATGAGTCAACTTTTCTATATTTGGCATAATCTCTGAGTCGTGCAGCCATGAAGCAGTTTCTTTTCTCAGTGCAGGTCTTGCAGTTTCTTATACCTTGGACAAAAATGCCCAAACTACACGGTTTGTTCTTTGTGACACATGCCAACAGCAGTCACTCCATTATAGTCTTTCTGTTAACACAGCATGAAAGGCAGCATATGTTTGGGGAAAGCTGAGCATAATACATGACAGGCAGACGGTTCTACGCGCCCAAACAAATGTGTTTGGCACTATGCAAGCTGCTCCAAGTGCTGGGTAGCCTTCCCGTCACGTATGCTGTCACGTCACGTATGCTTGGCGCGGCAGAAAGCAAGACCTGTGACCTTTCATCATCATCATCATCATCATCATCATCATCTTTCTTTCATACGCTCTTCAGTTGAAGATCGCGTGGACCCAGGTGATCCATCTGGCGCCCCGAGGGGCCTAAACCTCAGCAAGAAGCTTGGACACAGCCGAGCAAGGACGAGGCTCGGCTGCGTCCCGAAAATGGGACCTCAACATCAAATGCAGCTTCACAAACCCCCTAGCAAGGGCGTGTGTGGTCATCTTCAGACTAATGCCATAAAAAGGTTGGCAGGCACACCATCGCATTGGATGGCTTGCGAAAGAATCGAACTACTCACTCCGCAGCCGACGACCCAGCCTCGTCTCACCAGGACCACGTGCCACTCCAGGTGGCATTCAATGCCGAGAAACCTCCTCGAGCGGGGCAGAAAGGATCCAGCCCCAGCCCAAGGAAAGCATCCCGCCACCTCATTGGCAGCTCAGAAATGAGGCCCGCTGCAATCATCAGCCAAGGGACAGGCATCTTGCCATCTGGTTCGAGGTACCGTAGGAAGGTGTCGTCAATGTCCCGTGACCAACTCCACAACCGAGCAATCACCCCAAGCCACTGGCAAAGGTAGGGATGGTTCTCAAGGAAAAAGTTGTACAAGTTGTCCAGGCACAACAGCCCAGGTCCATGCCAGTTGTAATTAATGGCATATTCATAGATGAAGTCACCGCCTCCGGCTGAGTCGAGAGATTTGCCTTGACTGTCAACCATGAGGCCGCAATTGCCCCCCCAAGAGGAGATCGGTGCGTCCAAAAAAGACAGCTGCACTCTTTTCCAGGGATGTCCGTGCAGAAGCATAATGGCAGGCGAGCTCCGTGTCCCCCTGAAGGTTGTTGAGTCCCATTTGAACTCCCAAAAATTCGTGCTTCTCCGTCATGGTAGTGGCTAGTGAGCCACCTGCTGCCTGTGGTATGAGCCTGGTAGTCGAGTCCGCCAGCAGAAGGCCACCAGGTAGACCAGAGTAGAACTCCTCCGGATGATGACTGAAGTGTCACCAACCTTCCCAGTGAGGCCACTGTGGATGTAGGCATTGTGTGTGGGTTGCCGGTTGCCACAGGAGCCCCGAAAATGGGGCATCCCCCAATGCCACTGGTGCCCATGAAGATGAGCTCGTAAGGGTGCACAAAGATAGTTGCTGAGGTATTGGAAGTTCCAGATGTGCATGAGTAGGTCCAAGGCCACTAAGCTTCGCCATAGAGGGGAGTTTCAGGGCCAAATCTATGTTGGCTCCCCCGAACCCCGTGGCAGGTTCGGAACCCTCGGGCCTCCAAGACAAGAAGTGCGGGTTGAGCTGGATCATGTGGTGCTCGAAGAAGATCTTAAAAGAAACCCCAACAAAAAGAAGGGTGCTTGCCTTGGCCGGGGACTTGGGACCCCGGTGAGTGTCAGGGCTCTTCCTGTGACCTTGGGAGAACCTCCTTGAAGTCCAGAATCGAAATCCCGGGCAGGTAGAACCGACCAGTTAGGTCAAAAACAGGAGAAGTAGCCAGAGCAGCAAGGAAGTCACGCAGGGCTCCACCGTGGAAGAGCCGCCGCCATGGCAGGGAGTTGCCGCACTAGCACTGGCCATTGGGCATGACCAGAGCCTGAACACTCATGGCCCTTATCATCATCATCATCATCATCATCATCAGCATGCATCACTTTCCCGACATCACGCATGGTCTGGCGTGTTCCTGGTCGAGACCTTCCACCATTGCTTTACCATTCTGGACAATCTGGCTGGTGTGACACGGGTGACAACTCCCCAGACCCGCGTCTCGAAGAGCATCAGTGGAAGGAAAAAACAACATTTGCCGAGGTGCCTGTGTCTTCTTCCTACGTGCAAAAGCCGTATCACACCCAACAAAGTATTTTCGTCGACTTTGGTTTGGATTTGACTGGGACACCCTTTCTCAAAAAGCCTTTATTTAGTTTACAGTGTTTTTGTGTTTTTTGCGAAGCGTGTGTTCGCAACATGCAAGAGGGAAACGTTGTTTTGATTCGGACAATCTGAGCGGTTGTGGACATGTTGCCTGATTTTTTGGGTTGCTTGAGACAAGAAAACTCTTCGCCGAGTGCCCAATATAACTCCTTGCACTGCCCAGCATCGCTGGTTCCCCAAAGCGTTAGCTGGAATAACAACCAAAACTGAGGGATGCAGCGAGGCTTGCCAAAGTTGTGTTGGTGGAGGGGTCCTGAACCACAACATTTGACCGCAACAGACGCTTCATCATTTGTCAATTTTCAGGGATTGTAAAAGGGCATGCTGGTCCCACACATAGAAGAATAGGTCCCACGGTAGTTTTGAGAAACAGATCAACATAATATTGAAATTTGTGTCTTGGTATTGTATATGTACGTGCAAGTGTACGGGTGTACGGGTGGATGTACTGATATACCCCGACACCCATTTGTACACCCGTCCATACACCCATGCATCATCGCTAAATTCATCATATATAGCTGGTTTTGGTGGATGAAGCTACACACTTTTGATGCTCAGGCTAATCCTGGACACAGGCTATCCTCCTTCTACAGGCCTGGAGACATGGGTCATGTCCAGTGGTGCCGGGCGTGTGCTAGCACTTCACCTTTTGCCTGCAATCCCTTTTTTGATCATCAGGTGAAGGATTGTACAAACTCTTGCCTGAGTGCATCATTTTCCAACAGGAGAGGCTTACCCGCTTATGGAATTCTTTTGAACCAAAGCAGCGCGCTTTGAGCCCTGGTCAGCCTGGCGGCTGGCTTCGGTGATTGCTTGACCTATCAATATAGCTTCGACCTTTTGTCTTGCCAGAAATGCGAGTGGCAGGTGGAAGTTTTTTTTGCACATGTTGCGCAAGCAAAGCGACAAATTTTCATGCCCTCTCCAAAACCGAAGCAGCAAACTCATTCCAAGAAATCTGCTTGTTGTGAGTAAGACCTCAAAGTGGCCAGCCTATTGTATCAAGAGCGTTAATCACCATTTTTACTGATGCACCTTTCACAACTCATTTGGAGAATGGGGTAGAGTCTCCGGGTAGAGGATGTAGCGGAACGACCCGGAGCTCACTGCCATGTGGAGTGGCTGGGGTAAAAGACTGCCGAGGCTGGTAAGAATCTCGCGAGCGGTTGGCATTCGCGCAGAGCCGGTCACTTGCAAGCTTTCCTTGCTTGATGCCGCCAGAAGCGAGGTGCTTTGGAAGTCAAGAAATCGGGACTGGATGGAGATGAACCTTGTGCTCAGCAACTTTGTTGAGAGAAGCCTGCACAACTTCAATGATGAGCAGGTAGAGCTTTTGGCACAGCTGCTTCAGAAGAGTGATGTGGAGCTGTACCCTTGGCTGTCGGGCAGGTCACCAGTCCCCATAGAGATGCTGCAAAACGACGTCTTTGTTTTATTGCTTGGCTACATCAACTCGCACCATCCAGCTCTGAAACATATTCAGCCTGGACATGCTACTTAAGCTATACAACTCCTGGACTCCCCCTACATTGCGGGAATGGAGGACCATTGTTGAGTCCGTTGGGGTCATTGGAAGGCTGCAAACCAAAGGATCAACGACTGACGTACCTGGAGAATCATGAGCCGAGGCTGCAAGCACTTGAGCCAAGAGTTTGGACGCACTCTGTTCTTGGAAGAGGAGCGCTCAGAGGCAGCCCGATACTCAAGGCCTGACAACACGCGTAAAGGATTGGAGATGAAACAAAAGAAGCCAGCAACGCGCACAGAGCTTCTTGCAAGGTTTCTTGTTTGACTCGTTGACTGTACATCCCGAACATGCTGTGCTTCATTGCAACCTTGTTGGCTGGAAACCTCACTTTCATTATATAGCTGAAACCGAACAATGATGCCATTGTATATATATACATACACGCAGATGTATATAGTATATCATGCTGATTAGACTTATTGTTTGGCTCGAGACACATTGCAGCAAAGAGACATGTTTGGCTCCTGACATGTTGCAGCAAAAAGGCATTCAACTCATGACTTAAAGTAAGCAGCAGCAATCAAAGTCAAGAGGTCAAGAATTGCTGGAACAATCCAAAGGTCTCAGTTCCCACAGGTCAAAGCCACGTGAAAGCTTTAACTTACGCCAAGGTGTGAAACCTCAAGACTCGAATGTGCTTAATTCCTTATGCCTGGAATGGACCCGTCACCGCCGATGGCTGAACGACTCACTGGAAGATATTATCATGACACATATGTTGATTATTGGTTGTTGTGCCACCCCCAAGGTTATGCCTTCATTCAGAGTGGTTGTGGAAAGGCACGGCGTGATTGTGTATGCCCAAAAGCAATCTTGCTTTCAGTTCTGGAACACTTTGTTCTGGGGCTGGCAAAGCTACCCGAAATACATAGTCATGCCAGAGATCCTTGCTAGACACGCAGAAGGTGAAGAGGGCATATCGCCATCTGAACTGTCACCGCTTCATGCCAAGGTGCCTGGGCTTTGCAACAACTCCTGAGCTAGAATGAGTCAGCATTTTCACTGAGGTGTTGAGATACTTGGGTGAGGATATGCAAGTCCGGCATGTTGGCAAAGAGACTCTTGTGCGGCCGCAGTGGCGTGACATGCCACAACACCTTTACCTGCTTCCAGGTCCTTGAAGCTGGACGTCAATGATTCCAGAGGATTTGATCAGCAGCATACTGAATGATTGTATGCATCAATGGATGCCTTTTTGGGCATTGCAGCAACCTGTCAGTATCGTCCATTCATCCTGTCTCCTGAATAGAGGTCAACCAGGTCACAGTTGTTCATGGAGACATGGTGTGGGCCTTGGTCAAGCTGAGCAATAAGTAAACCAGTGTAGTAGGACCAGGAGGCATAGAAGTCGGTCCTCTCAGAGAATCGAAACAGCGAAACATCCACTGAATTCGGTTGTCGACTTTCCAATTCGCTTTGCTCTGCTAGTTTCATGTTTTCAAGCAACAAGGTCAGACCTAGCGCATGCAGCCTTGCCGGTTTTGACCTTTGGCTTAGTTGAGCTGGCACTGGTCACAAGCTTGTTAAATGTGAGGTTGCTGATACAGAGCCTGTGGAGCTCAAGACCATCCGGCTGCCGGAGAGAGGAACGAGTGATTTGTGAAGATTTCGAGGTGTTTGTGGCAAAAAGATGCGTAAGCATTATGACAGGGCAGGACGACACCTGCAATGAAGTCTACGAACGGCCTTCCCAGCACTGTAGGTCATTTTGGCTGGATTGAACCAAGTAGTCAGTTTGATTTCTCAGCCAGGTGTACAGCGGGACAGAGAGTCCAAGACGACTTCCCGGAGGAGATACTTTGGGTGAAGAGTTTGCTTGCAGGGAGTGCTTGCAACTGGTATGAAGGCTGAAAGGAATGGATGTGTGCAACTGCCTTCAACTTTCAACTGGGGACTTGTTTACTGGTGCTTAAGTCTTGAGAGTTTTAAGGTTTTGAAGCCATGCAGATAAGCTTGAAGCAATCAACAACAAAACAATTGTGTGCTCAAGCAAGCCACTTCTTCAACGCGCCGCTTTGACCCGGAGTTGTGGAATCTCGTGCTGCCCTTGGATGAAGCGGCTGAATTGTAGCAAATCCATTCATTTGAACAGTTTGTTGGCAAGGTACCGTCTTCACTGCAATGCCTGTCAAAAGCTTAGGTCACTTTTCTGAATGTTTTTTGGCAGTTGCGAAAGAGGGTTGAAAGGTGCAGCTTGATTCATAAGCAGGGAGAAGCATCAACAGTGTGGCTCACAAAATGTAAGTGAAGAGCAATGTAGAATCTAGAGTCTAGAGGAAGCACTTGTTACATGGGTGGCAGGGCAGGTTTTCCTTTTCACTTGTCTATATTCCCTCCAAAGTACACTCAACATCACTCAACAAAACAACATGATTTGAGCAGAGTAGTTTTCGACAAATGTTTACGAGTCTTGCAATGGCTGAAAGTGCACTGCTTTGTTTGGGAAGCTTCCTTGCTGGATGTTGCTCAGCCTGTTTGTTGGGGTCAAAAGAGCATCGACATAAAGGTGGTAATCGATCACTTTCTGCCGCTCGAAAAGGACGGCACATCGGCAGTCCTGAAAGTCCAAGAAGGAGGTCGCCGACAAAAAGCACTGCAGGGACTGCGACCAGCAGCATCTCGAGCCCTCAAGATCTCACCTTGTGGGGCAAAGCCCGTTCACATTGGGTTGCTCTGAGCAATTTGGTGCAACTAAAGCCCATACCTCATGTGCCTTCAGCTAGATCCTCTCTTCAATCCAGAGAACAGAATTGGCGTGGCCGCATTTGGTCTTTCAAACTGGGACCTGGAGCTTCAGCTACAGTGGAAGCACGCTTTTTTGATGATGGGGCACATTGGATAGTGACGATGAAGGACCGAGGGCCTGGAATCGACGTGAAGGCTGTCCTGTTGACCGATGATGGATCGCATGAGTTGGACCATGAGACCGGGCAGAGCTTTCATGGCCAGACACCTGTATGTGAAGGGACTGCGGTGTTGCAGCTTCATTTTCGAAACCAACATGCAAGCTTCACAGAAAGACAGGTTGAGGTGAAGATGTTTCTTTTCCGTGCTGGAGCTCGCATCGGCGAGCATTCATTTGTCAATGCAGTAATGTTGACATGGATGTCGGATTTGATTCACAGTACCTTTATACGCAAGGATGTAAAGCTTAAGGCTGATAGCCTCACTGTTGTGGAAGTGGAGCGTGTATTGCATGATGATCTTTGGGAGCGTTATGTGAAGACGCGCAGGAATATTCTTTTGCAGTTGTCTCGACAAGCCAATGAGCACTTTGCACACTCCACAACGCATTGTGAGATCGTCACAGATTCGCATGTTCCTTTGCCACTGTCGCAAGGTGCAAATGAGCACTGGTTATTCCATGGGACTTCAGCAGCAAATGTCATGTCCATTCTTGAGGATGGCTTTGACGACGATCATAAATTGACTCATGGATCGGCCTTTGGAGCTGGGATTTATTTCACCGAATGCTCTTCAAAGGCAGACATGTATTCCGAGCCTGCAGAACATACCGAGGTCCATGACCACGGTGGGATGTGCTGCATGTTGCTGTGCCGGGTGACGCTTGGCCGAGCTCGAAAGTTGGACTCACAGTTTCATTATGACTCGACACAGATTTCAGAAGAGATCAAAGGCGGACAGTACCACTCTGTGCTTGCGGACCGGGAAAGGCTTTTTGCATCATACCGAGAATTTGTTACACAAGCAGACCAGGCCTACCCAGAGTTTCTCATATGGTACCAGAGACACCACAAGTCTAGCCTGCAGCAATGGAAGGACAGAAATTGGGGAGGAGATTTGTTTTAAGCAGTCCTGCAACTCGGCTGACGATTTGCCGTGCCGGCTCACCGAAGTGAGCTGACTTTACGTAGTCTCAAGACGATTTCTCAATATTTCTCACTTGTGCTGATTCTGATTTCGGCTTTGCTCAAAAGAGAGGACTGTTGTTCTGCATTGAGATGCATTGACTGGTAAGAGGACTTCTATTTTGACTCTTGCCTTAGGCTCGAAGTGCTACTCCTGTGTGACTTTCTCAGAATTGAAGATGACAAGTTGCTTCACTTCAAGAACCGTTTTCTGTTTTTTTTTCCCCAGATAGCGAGAGCTATTGGGGTTCTTACTTCAAGTGTGTCCTTCGGAGCCTGGGTGCTGGTGCCGCTGCAGGGTGCTTTTGCCGAAGGCAGTGTGCCCTTTTGGGGCTGGGTGCCGGTGCTGCAGGGTGCCCCACATGCTATTTGGCTTCTACCCTGGCCTGATAATTCTTTTTTTGCGAGGGTAGTAAGTGGGGGTGTTTCAGGGAGGTAGGAGAGGTAGCCAAGCGGGTGGTAACCGGAAACCACTACCTGCAAGATTGCAGTAGAACTCTTGCTGGACGAAATGGTTGCTAAATCTTTGCGGAGATTAAAGGATCATAGTGTGGCGCTCAAATTGACAAGTCACAAGATGATCCATGCATCGTCATCCATCTGCGTAATTTCCTCACAACTCCTGACCTTGGTATCCTCCAACTCCAAGGCCAAACCTGCGACAGAGCTACTTGCCCCAGTAGTAGACTCAGATTGTGCTGCAGGAATGTGGTCAAGCTTTGGTGCTGAAAGTGAAAACTGCATTTTTTGCTCACAAGTTCGGCCAAAGTCGCAGTCCAATCCAAGTGCAATTCTGCAGGCCAGCGCAGCACGTCCCCTGCTATCATGCTCAGAAGCTCAAGCAGCAAATGCAAGTAAAGCAAGCGCAGCAAGTGCAGCAAGCGCAGCAAGCTGCCAGAGCCTCGCAGTTTTCTTGTGTTGCAAACTCCTCATCACAAACTCCTCAAAACTCATTTTGTTCAGATTCGGGTGATGGAGCCATTCCGTAAAGTCAATGGTGAGTGGGTTCCAAGCTGAGATAAGACTTGTTCCGGCAAATGATTACTGAGAGTTGCAAGTTTTGCACGACAAGGTGGACTATTGGAGCGAGTACCATCAGTGCCTCGCAAGCATTTATATGTAGTTAAAGGGTTATGTGGGAAGTGCTCAAAGGCTTGTCATGTCACGTTCGTTCTCATTCGCAAAACACTAAAACGCTACCTGTATGATCTAGCCCGCAAAGCCGACAGACTGTCGCTTCCAGATTCCACTGGGAAGGCCAAAGACGTGCTGTTTACTGTAGATGCCATGCCGCTTTCTGTTTAGAAAGTGAAAGCTATTATAGTTATTTTGCATTTCGACTCTGAATAAGACTAAGGTGCTGGATTCCAGCTTGCATTCTGGATGTGGATCCCGAGTCCAGATCCCATTTGGGAAGTTGTTGTAGCGTATCTGAATCTCAGCATGCCCATTGGCCGAGGTCAGGCGGCATTGTCTTGGATGTGAAGCCAGGAACAGTTTGAGCCTTACACAATCTTCCACAAAAGCCAAGTTGCTGCAGCCAACAGGAACTTCATTTTTTGCGAGGTTCTTCGGGGAAAAACTTGATTCAAGAACGCTTATCGCCTCCCCGAACTTCCAGCAATCCTAGCGTTTAGCTTTCGGGTTGTCATCTACAAAAAGCCCTGGTCCACTGATCTACCGCCAAAACAAAAGTGATCCAAAATGACACGAAACCCATCAGTTTCATCTCAGAAACTCCGACTTCAGGCCCTCCGACTTCATGACCAATGGAGGGTTCGCCCTCGAAGGATGCCAACGCCTGACCAGGCTGGTCATTTCCTATATTTATACACTGTATATATATATATGTATCTTGTGCTCCCTCGTGATCTTGACTTCATTCTGTGGGAGGTGTCAGCTGTTCACAAAATGCTTGCGAACGTTGAATTGGAAGCCCAAGCCGAGAGGCGCTGCATGAACTGAACACAGCTTTGGAATCCTTTGGATGCTTTCTGTAGAAGTCCTGCAGGTTTTTCCATGAAATCGGACGGGTCAAGACGGATGTCAGCCGGCCTCCCGGACACGGGTGATGTGAGTGAAGCAGGTGACCCCCGTGAGCTCTGAAAGAACTGAGTTCAACGTGGAGAAGAAGTCACCTCCTTGGGGGAGAAGGTGAACCACTTTGTGGGCCTACTGGGATGCCAAGTACATTTGAAGGCCAGTTTGCCTGTTTTCAACTTGAGTAGTGCAAAAGAGTTCTGAATCCTTTCAAGATAAGCGTAGTTTGTTTGGTGAGAGCAGGTCAAGTTTCAAGCCCAGAACTATTTGACGCCCGCAGCTCATTTATTTGGCAAGTGGAGTGGTTTCCTGGTGGTATGCAAAGTCTTGGCAACGCTCTTGACCTTATGAGCCAGTTTCCAAGGTTTGAAGATTTCCGTGGCCTTTTTTGGGACATCGCACACCTTCAGCAAGACATGTCTGTACAGGACACTGGAAAAGACTGCCTCACCGAAGAAGCCTCTTTATGTATTCTTCACAATTGTTGTTTATGAGCATTGACCATTCGAAGGCCTTGCAGAAAGATGTGGCCGAGACTGCAATTTCTGGAACACCGACGACAAGATACGAGATTTGCAGAACACCCAGAGAATGAAGTTTCATACTAAATGCACACGAAACATTTCGGCGTCCCACGAAGCATACATAGAATCTATATACCACCAATTTTGGTGGAGTAGACAAATGCTCCCGAATGGTTGTCAGCAAGCTGAGGCAGAACCTCAGGATGTTGTGAGATATCAATTTCTTTGAACATTTCCCAACATTCATCGTTATTTCTCCGATGTATATATATATATATTTCGAAAGCCCGCCGATAGGCTAGGCTGGAGTTGTCGATGGGCGAACGAAGTGAGTATAGTATAGGGTGTGGTAGGGGGTGGTTACCTGGCTGGCCAGTTTGGGTAGGGCGAACCCAGAGCCTGCTTTGGGAGAGCGAAAAAAAGAGGTGGTCCGAAAAGCAGTGAACATGTATGCTTTTTTGGGTGTTGTGATGCAAGTATGTAATTGACGCCGAAGAGTGCATCATTAGTGTCATGAGGGGCTCAGGAGGCTAGTTGGACAGTCTGTCGACAAGGGCTGGGAGGACAGGAAAGAAGGGAGAACGTGACAGGAAAAGTGGCTGATTGTCCATCAGGAAAGTGAGATGTGCGTCTCTCAACACCCTGCTTTCTTGTGGAATTAGAGTGGAAGGGAACGCAAGAGGCGATGTCACCCGTTGAGGACAGGAGAGGGAACAGAATGCAGTCGGCAAGCTTTGAGTGGGGGTCCCCCTTTTAATGAGCCCTGCTAACCCAGTCCGTCATTTCATTAAGATTGGTCCGTCATCTATTTTATGTCTCTATCAAGCACGGTTTGTCATCTGCTTTCTCTATAAAGCCCGGTCGGTCATGTCATTTCTCTATCAGACCCGGTCCGTCATTTCATTTCTCTACTAAACGCGGTCCGTCATTTCATTTCTCTACTAAGCCCGGTCCGTCATTTCATTTCTCTACCCGGTCCTTCATTTCACTTCTCTACTGAAACCCGGTCCGGAATTTCATTTCTCTATTAAACCCGGTCCGTCGCTTGACTTCTCTGTTAAACCTCTGTCCGTCACTTCATTCCTCTATTAAACCCGGTCAGTCATTTCATTTCTCCCAGGGTCCCTCGCGCTTCGCGTCGCGGGCGCGAAGCACAAGTGGCCAGAGACAGGTGAGCGACCACCGAAAATCACGGAGCCGACTGCGATCGGGAGTTGCAGAGGCAGGAGAAGGCAGAAACCAGCGGATAAAAATAGTAAAAAAACTTCTCAAGCCTCCACGTTGAGCTCTTAAAATGAAATATTGCATCTAAAAATTCAAAAAGTGACGACGCAAGTGGACAAGCCCCTATGTTTCTAATGGAAAGGCGCTTGGCCTTCGCTCAACTCAACTTCTTTCCTAACGCATGGGTTCCGCTTCTACCCTTTAACCGCTAATGGGCCTCGATCGAAACCCTGTATACAGAGCCTGTTCCGCCTTTGCCTTCTACTTTTCCATGCCTGACAGCAGTTCCAGTGCGCTGTGGAATTCACCCCATACCCACATTGATGTCTTCTTACGGAGGCTGGCTTTCGTCCCCTGCCTCTGCCTCTCAGGTATATATATATATAAATATTATATCGTGGCTTGTTTTGTGAGGCTGCCAGCAGACTTGACACCCTTCCCTTTTGATTGATATTGTAAGATTGATGATTGATGTTCAGTCCCTCACCCAGTGGATTTGGCCAGCAATGTTGTTCATGTTTGATCCATGATCCGTGATGCCTTGCTGTTCCCTACACTGTCAAAAAAGGAGTTTGCCAGTCACATGTTGAGTTTAAACAACACAGCCATACGTTTAAAACTTTGGATAATGAGTTTCTAGAGCTCTTGCCAATCTTTCAACTTCCTTTCCTTCCACACATTCCTCACAATTTAGCATAAAACGGTGGTTTACTGCATGTTTCCTCAGTGCAAATGGAGATGTTTTTTCCTGATTTGGCATACTTGGTGTATTTTGTATTGTCCACAAACTATGTACGTATATACACACTGTTTACGAACGATGATCAACTCAGTTGTAGCAACTCAGTGTCAAGTTACTGTGTAGCAATACCGAAACCGTAGCAACTCAGGTGAGACACTGGGCAAGGGAACTTATGGTGAAGTTGTGAAGGCAAAGGACAAGCGGACCAGGCTTGGCGACATTTTGCAATACGCAACAGCCAATGGTGACAGCCAGTCAGACGCACTTGAAACATGATTGCCCTGATGGGATCAAATGGTAAGGCAAGTGCGCGCCATCAAAATCATCAACAAAGAGAAGGTTTGGACTGATCGTGTGACTGTTGCCAAACTACTAGCTTGTCATGTTGAAGGTCCACGGAGATATGGAATTTCTGAAGCAAGAGATCCAGAACCTTATCCAGCTTGATCATCCCCATGCTTTGGCCTTGGTCGTGATGCACTTTCAGACTCAAGTCCAGTGGGCATCAGCAACTTGAAACAGTTTCAGATTCCTTCAGGTGCTCAAGCTTCTGGAATTCTACAACAGTCACGACCAAGTTTTCCTCGTCATCCTCGCTGAATTTGGCACTTGAGTTCGTTGATCCAGGTCACTTAGACTTGCTGTCCATGCTGTCCCCAAGGTAGCCTTGGGCTATTGGAGTGAACTCCAAGCTCTAGCTCTAAATACTAAACATCCATTACGCTGAAGAGGTGGCCATTGTCCATTTTCGAGGTTCACATACATACTGAATAGGAGTGGGCGGGCTGTATGTTCAAAACCTGGACTTCATTTCGCAAGCAATACAGGAACAACAAAACATCCACAAAAAGGATGCTGCAGGGTTTTCGGTTGCCACAATGATCTGTATATCCGAAACAAGTGGAGTTGATAACTCCCCCATCGGAGCCGAAGGAACCGACGGAGCCGCTCTTCTCTTGCGCTTTGCTTTACTTTGCTTTGCTGCTGCTGCTGCCGCCGCCTTTCGTTCATCGCATTCCCTCAAGTTCAATGAAGACTTGTCGAGACAACCATAGGCAACCTCAACTGCACCATCTCAGAATTCATAGGCGGTACAGCCGATTCAGAGCCCAAAGCAGCGCAGCCAAGTCTGGTGCAGGCAGTAAACTGCCAAGGCGCGCCATGGGTCATGGCAAGAACAGCTGCAGCTATTTCAAGCCTTGGACAGTGCATGGAAGTACCTGGAGCGTTTCCGCCCCAAGTCAGTTGAAGAGCATGGCGTTCACTACCGCTACGATCAATCAAAAGGTCATGCAGCAGACGCAGGCCTTCACCTTCGTGAAGACCGTGCGAGCTTTGGCAGAAGATTGGCCAATTGGCCTCAAGAACCGGCCAAGAAGACTTGGAAGAGAGACTGATGGACGTGGGTGAAATCGACGTGTTTGGCAAAGATTCGTTCGACGAAGAATGTGTTCCCGGCAAAACTTCCAATCTCAGTTAGAAGAAACTGGAACACGCCATCCAGCCCCATCCAGCTGCAACAGGGCACATTCTTCGGCATTTATCAATCACGTTTTTCACGGTCAATGGCACATTCTGCAGAGACCCAAGTCGGTTGCATTTCGACATTGTGCACCTAAAGAGTGCAATGTTGTATTTTGCTTGCCTGTGAGCTCTTTGTAACTTGCAGCTTGCATTCTTCTTGTGATGTGCGCTGGCATCATTCCAAGGTTGCCAGCATATTAAGTATGTATATATATATATCATATATATCATATCATATATATCATATCATATATACCTTACACTTTGAGGGTGGTTCTTCCTGGTTCTCGGCTCCCTCGCCGCCCACACGAGGGCGCATGTCTGCTTGTGGCCATGTGTTTCTTTGCGCAGGATGTGATGTTGTTCTTTTAGCACTGGTGGGGTGGAGTGGGGGGGACAATGATGTTCAGCAAGTTGAAATGCAGGGAAGGCCACACAGCAACCTCAGGCCCGAAGTGTCAGCTCAGCAACCAAAAGCTAGGACTGTGACAGCACACATACCAAGCAGCCACTTGTCAGCACGCAGCAAGCAACACGATACAGCTGCAGGATAATATGTGCTGCCACCGTCACAGTTTCGCTTCTCAGCCCATGCATGCAGAGCACTTGGATCTGTCTGGTGCTCGCTTTTGGTGTTGCTGTTGCTCTTGCGGGGTACTTTGGTTTTGTCAAAGAACATTCCATCTTGACCTCAAAAAGTCGGAGAGGTGCTGTGGAAACCCTGAGACATGTGCAACGCTCAACAATTTTCGTTCTTGTAAGACATCACCCAAATTCGCCACTGCCATAATTTTCAATGAAATATAGGCGTGGATCTTCGAACACGGTGTAACCAATTAAAAGGCCACATGGTTGCCACAAGCAATAGTGATTCCATTTGACATATCAAAAGGTATTACTAAGTTCCTTGTTGCAACTCAATCTTCAACATTTGCAAACATGATGGTTTCCACCCAAGCAGCTTTCATATGCATTCCTGAACCTGAGTTTGAACCAGACTGCCAGGTCACAGATCATTGCTCCCGCGGCGAATTGCACAAGCACATTAGCTGCTGCCTCAAATCCAGAGTGTGGATGTTGCCCACTAGCCACTGCTTTCAGGTGATGCCCGAGAGTCACGGAAGCGCATCCCGGAGGTCGATTGTACAAAGTTCTATTCGTGTTGGAAAGGTCCCTTGAGATATGAGAGCCAGGTGTGGATTGCCCACGTGATGCAGCAGGCCATGATTGCTGTGGTACGATGGCTGCCAACATGTCGCCAGACACGAGACGCTTGAATGATCTCAGGTCTTGTCAGCTATTACTCATATCCATGCCAACGGGATTATCCATTTGGACATCAAGTCGCAGAACATCATGCCAAGACCCTTGGACGTCAACTGTCAGGCCCATCAAGACAGGATGAAGTGTGAAAATATCTCATTTTAGGCTTATGCCTGCCTTGGAGACAAAAGCGCAGTTTCTGCAAGCCGAGCACAGTCAGGACAAACAGAGACCAACTAAGTAGTGTGCTCGAATGAACTCAACATTGTGTCGTATTTTGCCCATTCCAAATTTGTGTATCACCATGGTTTTGCAGGATGTAAGCTCCAACAACATTTTCAAAGAGAAGCTTGTGCTGCAAGAAATGATTGTGTGGAGACAAGAGACTCACAAAGGCGTTGTGTAGTGTTATTTGATTTATTTTTGTTATTTTTGAGTTGTTACCTCGTAAGAGTTGTTCCGTTTTGCGCTGCAGCTTGCTTTCTAGTGTTGACCTTTATTTTCACACCCTGAGGATTCCTCATGTGATGGTCATCGATTTGGGCGTGGCATGGGACTGAGCAAATTTCAACGTTCCTTTCGACTCTGCATCATTCTGCATCTAGTAGCTTCTTGTTACTAGTAGCGATGGCCTTCAACCTAATGGCGATGGCCTCCACCTAGTAGCTTCTTGCTCCTAGCTGCATCATTCATCATTGGCAGGCCACAATTTTTCAGCCTGGAAATTTCAAGCGTGGCAATCCCATGGGCACACCAGCCACTATGGCGCCTGCACCTCATAGACAACATGAACGATATACTTGTTTCTGATCACGAACGTGGTGCCACATGGCGCTTGCAGACCCGTCGAAAGCAGTCGGCAAGGCCTGAAGTGTGGCGTGGAGAAATCACGCCGAAGGCGGATGTCTTCATTCAGGTTGGAGCATGGCCAGATTTCATGTGCCTGACAGGCAGATGTCTTCAGCTGTGGGTGTGTGCTCTTTGAGATGCTCAGCCATCAGCCAAGAGACCCTTTTACCTCTCGGCCTTTTCAATTCAACTTGTTCAGTAGTTTCGAGAGAGCCCTTTCTTTCAATTCAAGGAGCTGCGTCGTAGCTTTGCCAAGGCTTCCAAATGCCATGGGACTTCAAGTACCGTCCGACTCCTGGAACGACGTCCGAATGCGAGTCGATGTGACGGTGATGTGGCCGCCTGGAAGTGCAGAGGTGGCAGCAAGCAAGAGGCGAAAGCCTTTTGGGATGCCAAGCCACGGCCACGCATGGTTTGTATCTCAGAAACGGTCCTTTCGTGCAGTTGTTGTTCATTGAATGTGGCCAAAACGGCTCAAGTTCCTCAAAACAATGCTCCGCAAAGGAACGGATACTGCATGCGCCTTCTGATGCGACAGCAATGGTGCTCAAGATGCTTGAGCAGGAGAAGACTTGACCCGTTCCTGCTCGCAAGAGCAACCAAAGGCGTTAGCACCATCCGTTGAAGCCTTTTGCGTTTTGAAGCGGCTCGCACCAGACGCGGAGGATCGGCCGACCCGCTTGACTGCAGCTGATACTTTGAGAGAGCCTTTTGTCCAGCGTGCAGGGACCTCAGAGATATTGGTGTCCAAACAAGAAATTCAAGCTAGTAGAAACAAGTGCCACGCTAGTAGTAACAGGTGCCTTACTAGTACTGTAGTAACAAGAAGCTAGTAGAAACCAGTGCCACGCTAGTAGTAACAGGTGCCTTACTAGT